AGCGTTAGTTGAAAAATGTATGCGGTGTCAGCAGGCTTCAAGGATGAATGCCAAGGTTTTGTGGCCCAAACTAGATCATCCTTAGTTCAGGATACACGTTTACTTCGCTGGTTCAATTAATGAAACAATGTATTTAGTTGTGATCGATGCCTTCTCAAAATGGACAGAAATCAAGCCCGTAGTGCCGCCTACCATATCTAAGACAATACAGCTCCTCAGTGAAATTTTCTCGCGAAATGGCGTTGCGTTACGCACACTGAGAGGTCGTCGGTGAGTTGAGGTCACCCGAGTGGTCAGAACGCCAGAGATAGACCGGGACTTACGATAAGATTTCCATCGTAGTTCCTGGGTGCCGCCATCTACGGGACGGGGTACTAAAGAAACCTACCTTATTGGGACTGTGTTCCTGATGGGCCTGCTTGGGGTCGGTTTTTCGTCCCTTGGTTCATTTAAGCGACTCAGTGTCGGGCTTGGATAAGATGTTTCTAAATCTGCCTGTCGGTAGAGTGGGCATCGCATAGACTATCTCGATGTCGCTTGCTAATATGCCCCTTAGCTGTGTTCACTTTTTTCATGGATCGCGTCGGATAGAAAGCTATTTGTATCCGAGTGGCAGTGATGGAATAACCAGACAATTCCCTTTGACTGAACTGTTTGTAAGATAAAGGAATCAAATTTGTGCGAACTTCTCGGTACCAGGCAGCAGACCACTGCAGGCCACTTTCAATAAGATATAGACTGCCTAAGCGCTCGGACGTACTGTTCGCACGCTAGTAAGTCATAAAAAACAAGTTTACAATACAGTATGGAACTGAAGAAACAAATAATGATGACTAGATATAAGTTGACTGCGGACTTTTAAGTCCAAACATGCGGCACAGATGCAATAATTACTATTGGGAAAGGAGTTATATTACTTTAAGTGTAGTTAATTCAACTGCATTGAAAAAGAGTAATTTCGATGTGTAGTAGAGATCAGAAATATAAATTTAACTTGGCAAGGAAAAATATACATTTGTCCTTCTTAAGTAGCTTTCGGTTTCTATCACTTTGGAATTTAGCTGTAAATAAAATTAGTTAAGGTATAGGGATAATGAGAAATAGTAGTTATGTACTGTAATCATACTAACTTGGCGATTCTTCAAACAGACTTTAGAATAGAGATCTGCTTGTGTCCTTTATTGAAGATTGAATGACATTAGTTAGGTCAGTCACGCGGTGATTTCGTAGCCTGTCGAAGCACGCCGGTAACACGACATGGATAGTAGCAAAGGGTTCGTTGTGTGTTGTTTCACCATGTTTTTATTGTAGAAGTTCGAAGGAAGGTAAGTGTCAAACATTAAACCTGTGGAAGTTAACTCAACCAGGTGGTGAGTTTTCAGACTCCGGAGAGCTTCATGATTCAAAGTGTGAAAATCCTAAACTAAGTGCTTTGCATGAATACCACCTGTGAGTTCAGTTTATGTTCTATATTGATCAGCCTACCTGCTCCGGTCAAACGGCGGGTTAGGGCACTTAAAAAACTGCAGTATGAAACCCTGAAAATCGATGCCGACTTCTATAAAGAGCTTTTGCACTGGAAGCTAATTCTGATGTACAGCACCCGCAAATATTCTCGAAAGTAAGCCGTCATTGTCCATCATATTTCGTATAGCGGCGAGATATTGTTTCAGGTGACATCGAACCCGCGGACGAGGATTGCGATTGGCCTACCGACGATGACGATTTATGCTTAGACAATTTATCAGAAAAATTAAAAAGCACAGCCAATGTCACCAAAGATATTAATAATAGCAATAAAGGTAGCTATGGCTATTCTAAGTAACCTTTTCTAGATTCCCTGAGCGAAGTTAAAGGTGTACCAGACTTCTGGCTGAAAACTCTAGAAAACATATCGTTATTTGAGGAAATGGTACAAGATCATGATCGTGATATTCTCAAGCACTTAACAGACCTCAAATGTGTCCTTAATACCGGCGAAGAGTCGGTAAGTTGATATATAGTTATGAGATCCCCAGGGCTTTACATTGGAATTTTACTTCTCACCAAATAAATACTTCACTAATAGCGTATTGACTAAAAGATATTATTTCAACTACGACATACCTAATGAAGATCCTTTTGGATACGAAGGGCCGGAAATTGTTCGCGCTAAAGGGTAATTATCACAAATTCCTCCCGTATATGTCAGTTGTGTTATTAACTGGAATCCAGGAAAAAATGTAACTGTAAAACTTGTTAAGAAGGTTCAAAAACGCAAAAGTGGAGGTGCTAAAAGAACGGTAACAAAAAGTGTTCGGGAAGACTCTTTTTTCAATTTCTTCGATCCTCCTGCAGAAAGTACGTCAATTTAACTGTATAATGTGCATTTTAGCTCTTTCCGATGACCTGGTGAGTTTTATGTGGTTTGTAGTAATTTTTCCAGGATGAAGATACCGAAATGCTTTTAGAGTCTGACTTCAAGCTTGGTCAGTTTTTAAGGGAAAGTGTTATTCCGAAAGCTGTACTCTACTTCACTGGTGAGGCAGTTGATTCCGAGGTAATTTATTATAGCATAAAATAATTCGATAGTTTGATGATGATGATGAGGACGACGATGATGATGACGACTTAGATGATGAAGATTTAAGTGATGAAGATGAAGACGATAAGGATGAAGAAGTAAGTCACTTCAATATCTCACTGTATTAATCATTCATTTCAACCTTCTAACATATATCTTCAAGTTAGTGTGCTACTTTTACTCGATAATTAATGACCCAGTGTATGTACAGATTGCTAACTTTTACACCCACCACTTCATCACTACTTTAGAAATTCATATATTATCTAGTTCGTTTTTCATTAATTACCTTTCAGCATGAAAAAGAGAACTCTCATGTAAGTTTGTCATCTTGATGTAATTTATCATCATAATCTTTGATTAATGTTTTCCAATTAGTTTTGAACTAGTCTAATGTTCAATTATGGTATGTGCAACCGAATCTCCTAGTTGAAATTTAACAGGTATTCGGGAGAACCGAAGACTTATTCTTTGTATCTTTAGATTCTGACTGTTTTAACTCCACTTTATAAATCAAAATTTAACTTGACTCAGTAAAAATAGCGTTTCAGTCACGTCCAAATATAATCGATTCGGTCACAAACAAACGCTATTTATTTTCGATCATTAAGATTTCTGTTGTAAAGTTGTTGAGGTCTGTGTCATTAACTATAAAATGAGGTCAAGAAGTGAATAAATTGGTAACAAATCACGCAGTCAACGTATTCTATTGATCAATTATCAACTGATGCTGTGATTGAATAGCTTTATTCTCTTCCCGGTCTATATCGTTCGTGTCTCTGTTGTTTGCATAATTTTCATTACTATTAATGAGTGTTTGGATAATGTTGGATAATCAGTTCTGAGTACCATACTAACCAATCACCTTTGCGTTCCTAGTGCAGTACGTGCCCTCTAACCATGTGTTTATTTCAACATTGACTGCAGTTTGGTTTAAAGCATGGCCACATTTTAGATGCAGTACCTCACACATCTAAGGCATTCCACTCTCTACGATCCACGAGTAAATGCTGTATTGATTGAAGCAAATACACGGGCTTAAACTAGTCCCAAAAGCGATAATTATGAAGCAAGTTTTGATAGATAAACTATATCCTGTTGAGATTTACTACAATTCGATTGATTTTTCAGCTACATTCATGTCGCGGACGGCATCATCGTGCCCCAAATCGACCGAAATCTAATCAAAACACTGGAGAAAAACAAGAATGCCCACAACAATAGATCTCTTGCTATGCTTGTCAATGTGACCTGATGTATCCTTACATACTTATTAAACATACGTGTACTTCAATGCATTTTAAGCCTTTTTTGTGATCGCACATTTACAGAATAAACTATCCAAAAGAGAAAAAATTTTGTTTTGGTGACTTCTCTGAAAGTACACATGTTCACTATGTTTTAATGGTGTAATCTTGCTGAGTTTTTCATAACTTATGTCAGTGAAATGGTATCCTTCTTAACGTAAGGCTGTACGTGAAAAACCGATAACGGAATAATAGTAGCCTACAGATATCCTCTATTCTTACTCGTAATCTAGGACAAAGTGAACTGCTACGCAGTAGACTAATCCTTTGTTTAGCAGACAGATATCTCGCCGACGCCCATAAGTGACGCAAGTTGGCAAAAGCCAATCGAGCGGTACATATTAGGCACCAAGACATCAACACTGATGGAGCCTCCGAGATAATTGGAACCGTCAACAAACTCAACTACACTCCTTATCACTTTCAAGAGCCGATGCCAGCCAAAACTGAAGCGACATTCTGCATTTCGAGGAGTAGAACCGCATCACGAACATGGGTATCATTTCAAGTTGTCTCGGGGTGAGCATTATTTACATGTGTCTGACTATTTTATTTGCTGGTAAAATATTCTCTTGCCTTTTTTTTCGTTGGGTAGAACCCCAAGGCGTTCCCTCAGCGCGTCCTTCTTACTTCCAGTAAGTTGCAGACAAATACGTGCTCGTACTAGAGGATGATCTGAGTCTAAATATGTGCTGCGGGGGTCTTCCATCGGGCCTCTCCAGCAGTGGCTAATAGCAATGTGGTCTTTTTGAGTCCAGCGTTGAGTGGTTCGCCATATCAAAAGATGTTTTTCTTTATGCTCAAAGTTGATGCTCGTCAGAAATAGGCAGGTATCTGAGCATAGTTGCGTCAGACGGTCGCCACGACACCATAAGATCCACCTAGGCACCTTTCGGTTTCGCTTGATCTACTTAATTGAGCATTTAAGATCACCAGTAGCTATTACTATATCATTGCACTTAGCTTTTTGAAGAAGGCTAGAAAGCTTCACATAAAATTCATATTTTACATCATCTGAACTGCAAGCAGTGTGAAAATAAAATGAGACAACGAAGAAGCAGCGGCGAGTGTCCATATCTTTAAGAGTTCTTACTGTTCATACAAGTGACTGTCTGCTAGAATCCAGTCTAGGACGGAAAGTTCTGCTTTCGAACTCGATACTATCTACACCAGCTAGGTCATTGCTAGTAGTAGTGGGGTCTCCAGATACATGAAGCGTAGATTGCGATGGTTCTTTATATTGCAAGGTGAGGTTAAGTGAACAACCGCACTCGGATCCTGTATATGCGTTTCGAAGACGCAGCATACACTAATGGTGTGAGGTCCCAAAGTCTTAGCTGGGGAAGTCTGTTGTCTTACTTAGCGCAAGATTCGACCATTGAAAGTTGCAACATGCAGTTTAGATTAGGATCTCAGAAGATCAGGAAAAGAATTTCGTGAACTCAAGTCAAGCATTAGCGGTGCTAAAGGAACGTGAGAAGGGTTAGTCGTGAAGATAAGAGAGTTATTGAGAGGTGTAGAAAGGATTTGATTGTGACCAATTTGGTCTCGTATCCTGTTACGCGTAACTCCGCCAGTAGAACCCTAGGGGCTACTGCCGGTCCCAAGCCCGGATAAAGGAGGAGGGTTGGACATGGGGTTGGCGACCCCATTCCGTTGAAATCTCACTTGCCAAAAAAACGCTAACCAGAAAAAATAATTCAAACCATTTTAACTCTGCCCTGGGAGTTGGAAGAAGAATTATGACGTCGCGTGATGAAAGCCGAGTTCCCTCAGAAGTCACGGGGCCGATGCCTCTTCTCACAACCAGAGCAACCATTTTTTTAGGTACATGGAACGTTCGTACATTGTGGGAGACTGGAAGACTATTTCAAGTTGCGGCAGAAATGAAAAGATACAACCTCGAGGTGCTCGGCATCAGTAAAACGCATTGGACACAGGTAGGACAACTGAGACTAGCTTCAGGGGAACTGCTGTTATACTCTGGTCATGAAGAGGAAAATGCTTCACATACACAAGGAGTTGCACTGATGCTGTCCAAACATGCACAAAAGGCGCTGATAGGATGGGAATCTCATGGACCCAGGATCATTAAAGCATCCTTCAAAACAAAGAAAGAGGACATTACAATGAACGTCATCCAATGTTATGCACCTACCAATGACTACAATGACGACGTTAAAGATCAATTCTACGAAAGGCTGCAGTCAATCGTCGATAAATGTTCACCAAAGGATTTGACGATTCTTATGGGAGACCTGAATGCCAAGGTTGGAATGGACAACACTGGATATGAAGACATCATGGGACGACATGGACTGGGAGAAAGAAACGAAAACGGTGAGAGATTTGCAAACCTATGTGCCTTCAACAAACTGGTCATCGGTGGCACAATATTCCCGCACAAACGCATTCACAAAGCCACATGGATTTCACCGGACCACACTACTCAAAACCAAATTGACCATATCTGTATCAACAAAAAGTTCAGAATGACCATGGAGGATGTGAGAACCAAGAGAGGAGCTGATATAGCTTCAGATCACCACTTGCTGATCGCCAAAATGAGATTGAAGCTAAAGAAGCACTGGACAACAGGGCAGACAACATCACAGAATTTTAATACAGCCTTTCTTCGGGATACCGTAAAACTCAACGAATTCAAGATAGCCCTCACCAATAGGTTCCAGGCCTTTCAGGATCTACTCAATGGAGAGGAAGCAACATTGGAGAACAATTGGAAAGGGATTAAGGAGGCAATCACTTCAACATGTCAGGAGGTCCTTGGTCGCAAGAAGCAGCATCATAAGGAATGGATCTCTGTTGATACTCTTGCAAAAATTGAAGAAAGGAGGAACAAGAAGGCAGCAGTGAATGTCAGCCGAACAAGAGCAGAGAAAGTTAAGGCGCAAGCCGAGTATACAGAAGCAAACAGGGTAGTGAAGAAGAGCATCAGAGCTGACAAACGAAAATATGTGGAAGATCTAGCAATGACGGCGGAAAAGGCTGCAAGAGAAGGAAACATGAGACAATTGTACGAAACCACAAAGAAGCTCGCCGGGAACTATCGTAAACCAGAACGACCAGTGAAAAGCAAGGAAGGGAAAATAGTCAGCAACACTGACGAACAGCGAAATAGGTGGGTGGAGCATTTTAATGAACTATTGAATCGACCAGCTCCTCTGAAGACACCCAACATCGAAGCAGCATCCACGGATCTCCCAATTAATATTGGCGCACCTACGATTGAGGAGATCAGTATAGCCATCAGACAAATCAAGAGCGGCAAAGCAGCAGGATCAGACAACATTTCAGCAGAGGCAATGAAAGCAGATGTGGAAGCAACTGCGAAAATATTTCACAACCTCTTCAAGAAGATTTCGGATGATGAACAGTTTCCATCAGATTGGAAATGAGGATACCTCATCAAAATACCAAAGGTAGGCTATCTAGCAAGTGTGAGAAATACAGAGGCATCACTCGTCATTTAATGCCAGGCAAAGTCTTCAACAGGGTATTGTTTAAATCACTGAAAGACTTCGTAGACGCTCTACTTCGAGATCAAGAGGCCGGATTTCGTAAGGATCGATCGTGTACTGACCAAATTGCTACATAACGGATCATTGTGGAACAATCAATTGAATGGAACTCACCACTCTACATCAACTTCATCGAGCACGAGAAAGCATTCGATAGCGTGGATAGGAAAACACTGTGGAGGCTTCTTCGACACTACGGTGTGCCTGAGAAAATAGTCAACATCATACGGAATTCTTATGATGGATTCAACTGCAAAATAGTACACGGAGGTCAGCTGACAGACTCTTTTGAGGTGAATACCGGTGTCAGGCAAGGTTGCTTACTCTCACCCTTTCTCTTTCTCCTGGTCATCGACTGGATTATGAAAACGTCAACATCTGGAGGGAAGCACGGTATCAACTGGACAGTTAGGACGCAGCTGGACGATCTGGACTTCGCAGATGATCTGGCTCTTCTATCGCACACTCAACAACAAATGCAAGAGAAGACGACCAGTGTAGCAGCAGCCTCTGCAGCAGTAGGTCTCAACATACATAAAGGAAAAAGCAAAATTCTCCGATGCAACACAACATGCACCAACCGAATCACGCTTGATGGAGATACCTTGGAGGACGTTAACACCTTCACATATCTTGGCAGCATCATCGACGAGAAAGGTGGATCGGACGCAGATGTGAGGACGCGGATTGGCAAAGCGAGGGCTGCATTTCTACAGTTGAAAAATATCTGGAACTCCAAACAACTTTCAAACAAAACCAAAATAAGGATTTTCAATACAAATGTCAAGACAGTTCTACTGTATGGAGCGGAAACATGGAGAACTACCAAAGCCATCATTCAGAAGATACAAGTGTTTATTAACAGTTGTCTACGCAAAATACTTCGTATTCGTTGGCCAGACACCATCAGCAACAACGCACTGTGGGAGAGAACAAGTCAGATTCCAGTGGATGAGGAAATCAGGAAGAAGCGGTGGAAGTGGATAGGACATACACTACGAAAAGCACCCAACTGCGTCACTAGACAAGCCCTCACATGGAACCCTCAAGGCAAAAGGAAAAGAGGAAGGCCAAGGAACACACTACGCCGAGAAATAGAGAAAGATATGAGAGGAATGAACAAACATTGGACAGAACTGGAGGGGGAAGCCCAGGACAGAGTTGGTTGGAGAAAACTGGTGAGCGGCCTATGCTCCATTGGGGGTAACAGGCGTAAGTAAGTAAGTAATCCTGTTACGGGTATGAGGGTGGATATCACTTCTTGGCAGTCCACACCATGGAAGGGTGTTTCTTGAGAAGCCCAGAAAGGAAGTTCGATCAGTGTTGGTCTTGGAGACCTGTGTGCGTGACCACAGAACCTAAGGGACAGCTGTTTGAG